AGTCTTGTGAGCAAAATTTCTACTTTGTGAGCCACTGGCATTAAAGCTGTAAGCGAGTGATTTGGCTACTGCATCAGTTAGTTTGCCTCTGGAGCCCTCCTTCCTGAGTGAAGAGAAAAATATGTGAGCCAGAGTCTTAAAATCTGTGAGCTAGCTCACACTAACTCAGCTTAGAGGGAACACTCCTGGTAACTGGAATGTGAATAGCTACATATTTTGTACTTCATCTATTACCAAACAGCTTTCCTTTTTGGCACTCTGGTACTAGGTTTTCACTGATGTGCTTGTTGTTGCTTTCCTCTCAACAAACCAGTTACTGAAAATAGATAAAATTGTGTTGAACTTCTATCCTTTTTACCTGACATGGGTGGTTTGCTTGTTTTCCACCACATGTGCCATCAGATAGGCTCGCCAGCTCTGAGTTGGCAATACCTTGGAGATTTTGGGGGTGGAGCCTGAGTGGTGGGTTTAGATTCAGAGGAATTAGCTGTGTTAGTCTGCTGCTGCAAAATAGTCCAAGAGTTCAAATAGCACCTTTAAGACTAATAGCACCTTTAAGACTAACCTTTAAGACTAAGACTAACTGAGTGGTGGGTGTGGCCTTATGACACACTTCCGGTGATGGCAGGGGGTGTGGCCTCGACACTTCCGGTGATGTCAGGGGGTGTGGCATATGCTAATGAGTTCCCCTAGCTCTTTTTCTACGAAACGACCCCTGGGGCCAGGACACTAAAAGCCCTCCCACTGTTGCACCCCCCAAGCATCAGGGTTTTTATAAACTCCCCTTCTGCTCATCTCTGGTGGATGTTCTTTCCCTTCCTGTCTGCATGAAAGTCTCTACACTTTTGCTTCTTGCAGCTGTCTATAGCTTTATGTATTTTTATTTATTTATTTTAAGATTTCTTAGCTGTCTTTCTACCTTATAGGAACTCAAGGTGGCTTACAATGTAAATAATAATAAAATACATATAAAAACCACTAGTTAAAACCAATAATTTAAAAACACTGGTAGACAGAAGAGCTAATAAAATGCCATTATGAATAAAATTGTCTTCACTTGCTTCCTGAAAATCAAGGGCCAGGTGCACCTCCTAGGTAATGTTCCATAACCATGGAGCAGTCAAAGAAAAAGGTCCTCCCTCATGTATCCACCAAGTGAGCTTCTTTGATCAATCGAACATTCAAGAGGGCCTCTTCCTGTGATCTTAGTTCCTGGGGAGGAACGTGTCAGAACGTGGTCCTTCAGATACCCTAGTCCCAAGCCATGTAGAGCTTTAAAGGTCAGAATCAACTCCTTGAATTGGGCTTGGGGGCTGATTGGAAGCCAGTGTAATTGGTGTAGAATTGGGGTCACATGATCCTGGTAACTGGCCCCAACCAGTACTCTAGCCACAGCATTCTGCACTAACTGCAGCCTCTGTGAACACTCTTCAAAGGGAGCCCCAAGCAGAACACATTGAGATGTTTTCCTCAGCAGGCTTTATTCCTCTACATGCCTAATAATTCTGTCTTTGATTATAGTTTCTATTAATTTGGTTGGGACATACATTAAGCTTACTGGCCTGTAATTTCCTGGTTCTCTTCTGAACCCCCTTTTAAAAATCAGTGTGACATTCCCATTCTTAGTTGGTAATCTCCCAAACCTTGATGGATATATCTTTCTGAATACTGGATACAATACATTTGTTTCCATCCTTGCCTTGTAGATCATGTTTTGTACTCTGAATACACACAAAATCGATATGGACAAGCTCTTGGGAGTACAGATCGGTCTGGAAGATTTCATATTTGCTCATGTGAAAGGAGTGAAAAAGGAAGTAGAAGTTTTCAAATCTGAAGATTCTCTTGGGCTTACCATTACTGATAATGGAAATGGATGTGCTTTCATAAAGGTAAGTTGAGTCATTTTTGATGGAATGAAATAACTTGTGTGGGAGAGGGTCTGTGCAGCAACAGAATAGCAGATGGACTATTTTAGTAATTCATTGTGTCAGCAAGATTGTTTCATATTCTGTTTCCTCCATGTTTTTATTAATTAAACCATTCTACACAGTTGAAACAACTTTTCTTTTAAAATTATGCTTGCTTCACTTAAGCCATGGGTGTAAAGAGAATGGGAGAGAATTATAATCAGAGGACATGCAACTTCAGTTCTGATTTCCCTGCCTGGGCCCTTAAAGTGTGAGAATAAATTATTAAAGACTGTAAAAGGACAGGCTGTGGAGAAACATACATTCTTTTAACCCAGTTGCCCCTCCATAAGACTTGCTGCAGCCTAGTGTTTCCTGATTTCAGCAGAAAAGCAGCTGTAGTGGGGAACCTGCAAAAGCTCTTCTTGAGTTGGGTTATGTCATGCAGAATCTGTCCCTAGCAGGGCTTTTTTTGTAGAAAAAGCCCAGCAGGAACTCATTAGCATAATAGGCCACACCCAACAGCAGAAACTCATTAGCTTATTAGGCCACACCCCTGACTGCACAGCTCATTATCATATTAGGCCACACCCAATGCCATCCCTTGGCTTGCCCAGGCAAGCCCCTCCTTGAAGGGAAGGGAAGGCCATTTAAACTGCCTTCCCTTGGCTTGTTCAGGTGCCCCGCGGCTGTGGGGAGCCCGGGCAAGCTGGCCCTTGGACAGGCCAAGGAAGGTATGGGGAGGCATATAAATGCCTCCCAAATCCTTCCTGGTCACCCCCTGGTCTGTCCTCCTCGGAGTCGCTGGGGGGTTGCTCTCCAGGCCTTCCTTCTGTAGCCACGCACGCAGAGATTTTTCCTGTAGTGGGCATGGCCAACTCTGAAGCCAGCTGGAACTCCATTCCTGTGCGTTCCTGCACAAAAATAGCCCTGGTCCCTAGAATGGGCTCTCTGGAGTCAGGAAGCACATACCTTGAGAGAGGGATAAAAGTAGAAAGGGAGAAATCGTTTTGTTTGTGCTACTATGTTTCACTCTGATTTTTTTTGCATCAGTGTCAACTTATTTCACTGTCAAATTGTCGTTGAAGGGGGAAAGAGTTCCCTGATGTTGGCCTATGTGTTATTTCTGGTAAATATATGTATGTATGTTTGTGGTTGTTGACACACATGCACACACACCTGGACTGTGGTTGTGAATCCCTATGGCTGGGGAGAAAGCTGCTTGCCTTGAAATGCTGTGACCTGACAAGCTCCTAGCCTGCTGTTTATGCAAATGGAGTTTGACACACAGACACAGCTCAGTCTGAGGAAGAAGAGGCACCGCCATTGCTAGCAGTAGAAAACAACAGCTTGCCTGTATATAACCACCATTGATGAACTTTTGGTAAACACGTAACCCCAATATCTGGTTTGCAGCAAAAAGGACAGTTTCCTGTTGAATGGTCATTTTATGGCCTGAGATCAGGCCACATGGCTCTACACATCAAAGGTTGCCTTGGTACCATCTTCACACCTTGACCAGATGCATCCCCTGAGTTAAAGGTTTAGATTTCAACATTGCCCACTCCTCTTAGGTAGGCACGTCATTATTAAAAAACCTAGTATAGAGTCCTGGGACGGACCACAGGTGGGAAGGGCAAGGAGGATGGTATCAATGCCAGCCCCCAAGAGCCCCCCTATATAAAGTGAGGTTCAACAGTTTGAACCCCGCTAGCCATCTTCTTCCCTAAGTAACTTATAGTCTTGCTGCTATTGTAATCCTTTGTTTCCTCTCTGACCTCGTGGACTGCAGCCTAGAGGTCCACACGTGTTTGGCTGGTTCCAACCGTGTGCATTAGAGAACTTATAGTTAGCCTGTTTGTTTCACTTATTCTTCGTTGGGAAGATCAAGCCTCTGATCAGATAAGTATTTGCTACTCCCTTCCCCATACCTTTAGCGTAAAAGTAACTATTTGCTATGTCTGTAATAACTGAGGATCTTGCGTGCGTGTGTGTGTGAATCTGTTTTTACGTATGTACGTGAATTAGAGTTAGGAAATAAAAGGAACCAATTGCTTTCATCATATATTAGCCTTGTCTCCATTTGTAAACCAGACTTCCTTCGAGGGTTGTGCTTCCTGTATACATTGGGCAGCACCACCGCAAAATTAATATCTCATAACGCCTCTGCTATACATAAAGCAGTCAGGCTAACACTGACCCCTTAGTCCTCAAGTGTTTCAAAGTACCATCACCCTCACCTTCCATCTGTAGTGATTAGAATCCTCTGTTCTAGACCAGGGGTGTCGAACTCATTTGTTATGAGGGCCGGAACTAACATAAATGAGACCTTGTTGGGCCGGGCCCTGTGTGTCATAAAATGTAATGCCAGGTAGTGGAGTTATAAACTTTTTATAAAGGACACAAACACAATTTTTTTTACTTAAAATAAAAACATGCTTAAAATATTAGCACTCTTGCAATATTTTGTTTATTAACAGTGTCTGATAACTGACACCTCTTGCTCTAAATTATTACATCAAAATTTTTGTGCTGTTGCACTCTTGAGTATGCTGTTCAGGTGTGTATCTGTAAGCTGCAAACCTATGATGACGCAGCAGAAGCAGAACTGAAAGAAGAAGCAGAAGACAGCCAGTTCCAGTGCAGGCCTGATAGAAGCGCTCCAAGGGCCTGATTTGCATGTTTGACACCCCTGTTCTAGACTTTCTTCTGTGGTTAGGGAATAACATTCCAGCATGCAGTGGATTTCACTGTTTTCCTTTTATCCATTGTTTTCTTTACTTTAAGATTTTGCAAAGTTCACTGAAAGGTAATTTTTTTAACTTCCATTTTAGTATGATGAGTGTTGTTATTCTAACATGGTGAAAGCCAGTAGTTTGCATGCCAGAGTGAGCTTGAAGATTGTGACAGTTTTTCATACAAAGCAAAGATAAATTGCTGTTGGAATAAAGATCTATTGCAATTGGTTTTTGAAAAGTACGCAAACGGAGAGTGATTTCAGCAAAGCGTACTTTATTCTATCTGGAACAAGACAACTTTGGGCGGCTTACAGGCCGGCTTATATCCCCCGAGAAACCGCCACCCAAAACACACCCCTACTTTCCTATAGGTTATTTACAGTGGCCGAGAGTCCCATAGGCTCTCGGCCGGGAACCTAGCCCCGATTGGAGCGGGCTAGGATCCGCATAGTCCATTGCCTCTTGGAGCGAAGCTTGACGTTTGTCTCTGGACTTGTCTGGACTTGTCTGGACTGGATACATTACAGTTTTGTTGTTACGTTCACCCACACCTTTCATTTTAACTCTTTCTTTTCTCCCACAAAGATTCACCGGCTAATGAGAAGCTCTTTCTGAAAGTTAAATCTAAACCTTATTTTAGAGTTGGATGTTAAAATCATCCAGTAGATAACAGGTTGGATCCAAACTATGCATCAACAGAAAGCACTGATTCTTACACAACCCCATCCTCCCAATTTGTGCAAACTTTCCTCTCTAGCTGCAGTTTTCTGTGTCATATCCTACATAGTTTCCATGGATCACCTGACCATCTGGAACTGCTGTTTAGATGATGTAGGGGATTAGAGCATGTAGGGGGAGATGGGAAAGATGTGTTCTGTGAACTTCGCTCTGTTTGCAGTTCATTGTTTTGACACAGGCAAAGACAGTAAGTATAACACACAGTGTATGGTGTACCTGGATTTTCAAATCAGGTGTTTGGAAGTGAGTCTATACAGTATATATATACAGTATATATTTGTACCACCAAGGTTGTATTCTAAGGCCCTGCTTTGGGTGTCCTCGCCTTCTGAGATCAGGAGCTGGAGATGCATTCAGGATTTTTTTCCTTCCCTTTCCCTCCAACCCCTTTCAATTCCAAAGCTGCTTTAACACCAAACCCTTTAACACCGGCTGATTACTTACCCTGCTGAAGTCCCACGGCCTAATCTCTCCCCCCCCCCTTGAGATTGGTAATCCTGTGTGCATCTCTTTCTCATGCAAGTGAGTCTGTACAGGTGTATTTGTACCTCCAAGGTTGTGTTCTAAGGCCCTGCTTGGGGTGTCCTCACCTTCTGTGATCAGGTGATATTGCACTACACTATACAGGCTAACCTCATTCAGTCCTTACATCTGTATTCCCACCAATCCCCCAGAAGAGCTATACATCCTATTTATTTTATTTTATTTTATTATTTGGAATAGCAGATTGTAATGTAGAATGTAATGTAATTTGGAATTATAGATTAGAATGTATTTTTCTGGTCTGGGAACACAGGAGATACACTGCACAGCCAGTTTCTCCACCTCAAAGAAGAGGATGCTATCCAGAGGAGACAGAAGGTGTGTGATAGCAAGGTCTTAGTTTATTACTGTCAGTATACCACAATTAAGAAGGGTACATCTGCCCATCAATCTCCAATTTTGATTTATTTATTTCCTTCACTATGTTTCCCCCTGGAATTAAACCCAAACAAATGGTGACCATATAAACTAAGCTTGTTATTCCAGTTTGGTCCTTGCATTTGTCAAACAGCTTTAATATGCTGTATGTAAATTTGCTGCTCACCCTCTAATTTGTATGGACTGGTTTCCATTTCAATGTAGCTAAAGTAGTGTGTGTGCACATAAAAGTTTATACTTTGAATACTTTGTTGGTCTTGAAGGTGCTGCTTCAGACCAACACAGCTACCCACCTGAATCTATGCACTCTAAAGAGGCGGCATATTTCTATAAATCCCAGGGATCTGTTCTGCTAAAGGGCTCTTGCATCAGGAGAATGCACCTTGTGCCAAAGGAAGGTGCTGCAGTTAATAGAATCCACAGGATCCATCTCTGTATCCTCAGGACAAGTACATCATGTACTACTTACATATTTGTAGGTTGGTCCTGAGTTTTTGCTTATACCAGTTGTTTACCCTGTTAAGTGCTGATTTTAATAGCATGTTATTTGCTTCATTATATATCTATATATTAATAATTTTTATT